CACTGGTATTTATCCATCTAACAATTGCCAGGTTGCATTCACATGAGTCGTTATGGTCACACGGCGTGGGAGATTCACACGTTAAGCTTCAGGCCTCCAGGCTCCACTATGAATTATGCAGTGAAACCAAGACCGTCCAGCCCCCTGCCAGCATTGTTGCTTTTCAGACGGAGATTAAAAGACGAGCCATTTGCGTGGCAAAACAAAAGTTTGGGAGACAACACTCTGCTAAGATTCGAAGATCAGTGAGTGGAGATTTACAACACAACAAACAGGGCGGCTCTCTCCATTAACACAACAAGAACTGGTGATCTGTCCGTTAGACCCTGCAGGACCGGAAACTTCTGGGCTCACCTGGGCATTTTCTCCCTCCCTGATGGCGGCTGCAGCATCTTCTGTCCGTCCGGCCAGTTCCTCCCACAGAGGGGTCATCACGTTACCTGGAGAGATGCTGCCACAGACCAGAGCCTCCATGGATCACCAGAATATGAATAAATAAAGAACTTTACAGAATGTAAAACAGACTTCACGAGAAATTAAAGTTTGCCTCTGATATAGGACCTCTTGATAGCAATATCAGTGCATTAAAAGTAATTTTTTTGTCACTGATAAATGTAGAAAACTGAAAATAAAGCTGCTTTGCTCTATGTTCTCTAAGTTTAATTTCATATTTGGTACACCACTCATGTAAAAAGGGTGGTTTTCAGGGTGGTTTTTTTTTGTCGGATCCGTTTCCAGGATGCAAACCAAAACAAACACAAAGCGATGCTGAGGAGGCTGAGATGTCCAGTCACATGACCCGGGTGTAAAATGTCATTCTGAACTTCGCGTTCAGAGAAAGAAATGAGCATTTTTATCCACTGACATGTTTCCGACTGAAACATTGCAGTGTTTTATATGACCACCACAGATAAAACACAGAGCTTACCTCATTTAAACAAAACAGATCCAGATGTTTGAGAGATTTATCTCTTCCTCTATTACCCCTGCCCAGCTTTTTTTTTTTTACTACCCACTCTTTTATTGGACCCGATCTCATCTCGATTATCTATCCAGCCTGTGCAACAAAACCACAATGTGGTCAAATCAATGCGGTGGAAGGCTTTCTTCCTCTTTATTAAACTAATGAAAGCACACAGAAACCAGCTGACCCTGCTCACCAGTTCACTCTGACCTTGTGGCGACTCTCGTCCACGGCCATCGCCTTGGTCATGGCGGTGATCGCCCCCTGGTGGAGACAGCCCCGCGTTACAGGAGTCTTTCTCCAGGCGGAGACGTGACGGGATGAAAAGCGTGGCTCTGACGCTTACTGACTTTAGTGGCGACGTAAGGAGCCGCGTCTCTCTGGCCGATGGTCCCAACGAGGCTGGACACGTTTATGATGTTTCCCTGCCGCTGCCTCAGGTGTGGCAGCGCAAACTGAGGAGGACACAGAGGCCGAGGGTCAGAAACAGCTTACTACAATTCAATCGGAGGTTTCTAGAGGCTAAAACCTTTCACATATGAATCATATCAAACATGATCAGGCCCTAGAGTTCGGCCTTTGGCTCCGTTCTCTGTCAGATGATCCACTCTGCTTCATCATGTGGAGCTGGAGGATCCATCCCTCCATCAGAGCTGCTGGGGTTCAGTCCACTTCTGGTTCCTTTCCTCCCTGTTTCCTTCCTTCATGGAGAGCATTTGTGATTCAGCCACCAGGAGATTCAGCCGGAGGTCCAGATGTTCAGCTCTCTGCTGGATCTGCTCCTCTTTCTGAAGGACCTCACTTTCAGATCTTCTTCATCTGATGGATTAGAGAGTTTTTCAGGCCCAGCTCTTCTTCTTTTGTCCAGACTCACTGCACACCATGTTGACATGTGCCAAGTCTTCCCAGGCCAGCAGCTCTTTGGGAATCATCAGAATTCCTGTTTCCTGTCTCAAACTTGCTTTTTTTCTGCCGTTTTCCCCACGCAGGACGTGTCTTTGTTAAAGAATAACGTCCTAAATATCCACTTTAAATGGCTTCTTTTCTCACTTGTTTGATGTTTAGTGAACTTTAAGAACCCTTGTGTTGAGAAAACATTCATACTTCATTTTTGTAAAGAATATATAAAAAGACAATAACATAATCCTCTGAAAACAGGATAAAAAACATGAATGAAAAATAAACAAAAAAGCCACTTCCGGTAGAATAAACTTTGAAATACATTAGAAAACCTGGAGAACTCATCACTGAGGACCAATTCAAATATTACAAGTGAACGTAGCGTAACACATTTTAAATCATTTGCACAAAAAAACATACTTTTGAGGCCAGGAAGTAGCTGACAAGATTGAGGTTGAGCAGATCTCTGAACTCCTCTGCTGAGGTGTCATCGGTGGGTTTGTGAGGAGGGTCTGAAACAAACAAAAATAAACTAAATGAAGCAGCGGTTCTAATGAACCGATATCCACAGGAAGAGGAGGGAGACTCACGCCAGCCGGCGTTGTTGACCAGACAGTCGATGTGTCCGTGGAGCTCCACTGTGGCAGCGACCAGCCTCTGAGGAGGAAAACATCTCATCAACACACACTCTGATCCAACTCCAACCACCGGAGTCCAGTTTGGAAAAAGTAGCCGTCCACCAGACTGTCAAGTCAAGTCAAACTTTATTTCTATAGCACATTTAAAATAACCAATGTTGCCAAAGTGTTGCACATAAAAAGCATGTATATGTGATTTTAATGTAAAAATAAATAAATAAAAAAGTTAAAAAGACTGGTGCTTTACCTGGATGTCTTCTTCCCTGGAGACGTCACACCTGACGAACGTGCACGAGCCCGGCGCGCTCTGGTTGAGCTCCTCCTGGAGAGCCTCACCTGCTGCTCCTGAAACGCACCACGCCCCCAATCACGCGCACAGGGGACTTTAAACTGAATCTTCTGAGGCTAAACGAGATGTCACAGCCATAGTAAATTACAAAAGGAACAGGATTCAAACCCACACCACTCACCTCTTGCGCAAAACACCACTTTGGCTCCATTTTGCACTGAAAAAAAGACGCAAAGTTGTGAGTGTTCCAGACTGACGCACAGCTGAGCGTGTGCGCGTGCGTGCGCAGTACCAAAGGCTTTGACAATCCCTCTGCCGATCCCTTTGGATCCTCCGGTGACGATGACGACTTTGTGGTGGTATCGGAGGGACATTCTGCCACCCAGGAGCTCCCAGCTGGTTCTGTCTGTTCCACTTTGGCCAAAAAACACAATCCACCGTCACCACTGTTTGTTTGGCAGGTTCAAAGTTCCACAAAAAAAGAGAGGGGGTTTGCTTTTGCTGCGTTCAAGTACCGTCAGGATGAGGGGAAATCACAGAGCAAAGCAGGGACCTCGGAAAGTGGCTGATTTTAGTGGCCTACGGAGGCCTGTACGCACCTGAAACTGACTACTGCTGGAAAAGCGTTTGGAAGGGGAAAGAAAGCTAATTCCTGCAGCATTTCACCCAAACAGAAAAAGAAAAGAGCAAACCGAGAATCTGAGCTTTAGGAAGATGTTAAATACTGGACCAGTCCTTTCAAACAAGCGTTATAGTCACGTTTAAGACTATGTTTGGAGAGACAAACATCTCCAGCTAACACAGCTTTTAAGGCCTGAGAGAAGGTTAAGGAGCCTGAACCATGAAGAGGAACTGCTGACTCTGTGTGGCAACTTCAGGCCTTAACTCTGGATCTTTAGTATCACAAAGCTTGTAGAGAATAGTTCTGAAACTTACCAGTTTCAAGTAAAAAGTCTAAGGAGACAATTAAATCATCACTTTGAATCTGGTCTCAGGGTCAGAATTTGGCCCTAAACAGGACATACTCAACAAGCTGCTTTGGGGCCAAAAGAAGGCATTTACAGAAAAATGTGAGAAATATTAAGATCTTATAATATTTTTTAAAAATCTCAGAATTTCAAACAAAAGACCAAAAGAACCAGCTAATGTGAAATATGACGATAAAAACAAACCACACAGCAGATATTTATTCTCTGTTTTAAGCAAATGGGGACTCGGAGTGTGAACCAAGGTTAAAACATGTGTCTTAGCCACTTTAAAAAGTCCCAGAGGCTAAATAAACAGAAGGAGAGGATCAAATAGACGCAATCCTGGAGAGAAAGCGCGTCCCCGTGCGTCCGGAACCAGCCCAGACATCCACCTGTGTGTTTTCAGCGCTGACCAACCGAGGCCCGGTTCTTCTTCACTCCCAAATGTGTCCACGAATCCGTTAAAAAAGACACAACGGTACAAATCCGGCTCCTGTTTATTGCTGAGTCGTGAAAGAGGCCCCAAAAATAACCACGACCCGCGTGCGTAAATCACGACCGGGGCGCACATCCATCCCTCCGCTCTGGATTCCTCACCCCCAAACTTTCATTTCTTAAAGTGTTTCTGCGCGTGACACGTGATCGATGGCGTTGCGGCGCACGCGAACATGCACAGTGTGTTTAGGAAAGAGGACGGGGTGAAGAGGTTGGCATTTTCAGACGGGGGGCGGCCTGTTGGGGGCAGGAAAAAAAAAGAAAAAAGAAAAAAGAGAGAGGCAGCGGCGGCTCTTGGAGCAGGAAGGGGGTCAAAGATTGAATTTCGGCCCCCGCAGCATTCCCCGAGTGGAGCCGCGCGCGCGCGCACACGCGCACCGAGGCGCGAGAGAAAGGCAGCGCGAGAGGGTGCAAGTCAAGACGAAAAGTGACCTACAAGCCAGCTAAAGCTCCCCCAGGGCAGCAGATTAACGCCCCGGCGGCCCCCGGAGGAGGGGATCGACTGGGAGGGCTTTTTTTTTTTACTGGACATCGCGATGAGGGAGCTGGTCCAGAGCGCGGGGTCAGCAGCGCGCGCGCCCGGAGGCGGAGGTCCAGCAGGAGAGCCATGGCCACTCACCGGAGGAGCCGTGGGAATTAGTGGCAATCAGCAGGTGGTCAGCCGGCGGACAGGTGAGGCGCGTGCGCGTGTGGACGCGAACGAGTGTAGATCAGAAGATGGAAAACACGGAGGGGGATTTGGTAAAGTCTCAGGCCATAGTCGTATTGACTTTGATTTGGTTTTAGTGTCAATTCCATTGAGCTTTAAGTGT